CCCTCCCCTCCGGAGCGCCGCCGCCGCCGCCTCTCCCCTGGCCCCGAACCTCTGTGCCTCCGGCTTCTGCAGCCTTGCTCCCAGAGAATCTGGTTTGGGATTGGCCTGGGGAGGGCCCCCAGGACGCGCCCCTCCCCTCCTCCTCCGGGTCGGCTTGCCAGACCCTCGCCCCCATCCCGCTGGAGCGGAGTCTCTGCTGGGGCTCGGGAACACTGGCGCCCATAGATAAACAAGGGGCGAGCAGGTGCGCGGAGATGCGCATGCGGGGCGCGCAGAGACAACGGTGAACGCAAACAAGGGCGCAGAACGAGATCGCTCCCGGCGCCTCTCGGTCGGATCCTCAGCGAGTCCACCAGGGGGCAAGAGTGACCTGGAGCTGCTGCTCAAACCATCTGGGAGCTGTCCAAGGTGGTCACAGTCCCAGGTGGCGACTTCAGCTCCCTAGGGTCCCATGACACCGGCACCTAGAATCCCTGTCTTGCCCCTCATCTGCCGTCCCCTGGGCGCATAGCCCCCTCCCACCTAGAACCTCCCCCAGCTTGGCCGAGAGAACCAGACTGAGGCTCCAGCCCGGCGCTTCCTCTCGGCCTGCGGGTCTCAGACTCCAAAGCGCTCCTGCAGAAGGGGATGTGGGGGTGGGGTGGAGCAGAACAAGCCCCCACACACAGGGCAGTGACCACACGAGAGCCTGAGCGCATTCCCAGCAAGGGAAGGAAGTCATCAGGACTCCGCCTTCCCGCCCTGGAGAAAACAAGCGCAGGATGCCAACTCAGCGCCCAGGGGAGCAGGGCAAGGTGTCGAGGTGCCCTTGGCAGCTGGGCCTCTGCGGGGGTCACCTCCGGCCCATACCTCTCCTGAAGGCCGGCCTTCCTCACACCTCGCGGAGCCCACCCTCTTCTAGCCCGGCTGAAGCAGCCTCCATCCCGCCTGGGTCACTGACGCGGATCTGGGGCAGCAGTTTGTGGGGGCTCTTCGGGCTGAAGGAGGCTCAGGGACTCAGGAACAACCTCGTACCCCCAGCGAGGGAGCCCCACACTGCTCGGGTCCGGCCCAGGCAGGAAGGACGCTGGAAGAGCTGTGTCCACCCAGGGGACTGGGCAAGCCTGCGTTCCAACACAGCTGCACGGAGGGAGGTCAGGCAACGACACTCGCCCCACCCTGTGAACAGCCTTCGCTGCTCTAGGAAAAACCTTTTATTACAAAATGTTTACACGAAGGCGCTGGGCTGGCTCCCTGCCGTGGGCTCCGGCCCTCCCCAGGACAGGCCCGGACTCCACGGAGGGCGCTCGAGGGCCCTGATGACCCATAAAGGGCCTGTTCCTTGGAGACGCTGCTCTGAGTCAGGCTGAGGGGCCCTCACCTCAAAGGGAGAAGCGTTAAGGTGAAGCCTGGCTGCCGGGGCTGGGGGAACCGGGGGGTTGAAAGGGGGTGCGGGTCTCCTTTGCCCCACACAAGACCTCTGTGGGTGTGGGTGGCAGAGTCTGAGTTGCGCGACCCCCAGGGGTGCTGGGGCGGGGAACTGCGGAGGGAGGTGCTGCGGTTGGGGTCCAGGGCAGCCCCCGCACCCCTAGATGACGTTCTGCGCCTTGGCAGAGCGCGCTCGGCGCAGCAGCAGGACGAGCGCGGCCAGGAGCAAGGCGGCGAAGAGCAGCAGAAGGGCCACCCAGGAGCTGAAGGCGGTGCCCTTGCGCAGCCCCGGCGGGTCGGCGGGGATCATGTTGGTGAGGTTCAGCATGTAGCCCAGCGCCCAGCCCACTGCCGTGTCCGCTGCCTGAGAGTGGGGGCGTGGCTTCAGCCTCCCGGAAGCCCAGACCCCGCCCCCAGCACAGCCCCCAGCACAGCCCCACCCACCTTCTTCTGGAAGGTCACGCCACTGAAAGTGCGCTCATCAAAGCCGTAGCCTTGGCTCAGCAGCTGGTGCACGAACATGGCCCCGGCGCAGTAGTCGGCCAGGCGGGCCTTCTGCTGTGGCGCCCGAGCCTGCAGCTGGAACGCAGAAGGGAGATCATTGGGCTGGGACCCCGGCGAGAGGAGACCGGGCGGGATGCTGTATCCTCCCCACCGCGCCCCGGAAGGAAGCGCACCGCAAGACCGCGCTGAGGAGGCACAGGAAGACAGCACAGCCCTCAGGGACGAACGGGCTGGAGGGACGGCAGAGAGATCCTTCCCCAGCCAGCACCGGACTAGGCTCCAGGGGGGCAGGGAGGCGACGCCCGAGGGGCAGAGGCCAGGGAAACAGGAGCTCCAGGCTGAGCGCGGCCTCCACTGCCTCTCTTGCCGCCTCTTCCTTACCCATCCCCTGAGAGGTGCCACGGGGCGTCATATGCCTCCCTGAGGGTCGCGTGGGCGCCACACACTCAGGCGCCAAGCACCCCGCCTTTCTTACTTGGCACCGGTGGCCCAGGGGCAGGAGCCGTGAGCCTAGGCTGGGGCAGCCTTCACCTCCTGCCCCCCAAAAGCCTGGCGGCTCTACCTCTGGGTGCCTGAGCCCTCTGCCACAACCCCCACTCTCCCCACTTGGTCACAGCCACATCTCTGCACAAGAGTTCATGCTGGTCTCCGTTGTTGGCAGGGCAGCCTCAGGCCTACACTTCTCCACACAATACAGCCCCTACTTCTGGAGTCTAGCATGGTGCCCCAACCAAAGAGCATGCTGAGAGGCCTGGGTCCCGCAGGACTGGACAGGTGTGAGGATGCTGCCAGGCGCCCCCGGGGCCTGAGGAGGTGGTGCAGTCTCACCTCGGCCCATGTCTGGTTGCAGGTGGTCACTGCGGCTGCATCCAGCTGCTTCAGAGTGGCCGTGGGCAGCCCCATGACGGTCCTCATAAAGTCCACAGTGTAATAGAAGGCAGAGAAAGCCTGCAGGGGCCACAGTTACCCGCTGCTGGCACTAGGCACTTCCCAGCCCACACCCGCTCCCACTCTTGGGCCTGGACTCACGATGAAGTTTCCAGCCACTGGGGGCTGGAAGACCCCGTCAAAGGAGCATCGGGAGAAAGGGCAGGAGGAGGAGTTGAAGAGCCCTGAGACAAGGCTGCGGCAGCGTGCAGGGTCACTGGTACCCGACACCGTGATCCTGGTGCTGCTGTTGAAGGCCCGGGGCCGCTGTGCCTGAGTACAGGGTGACTGGTACACACTCCCTAGCAGCACCTGGGTGGAGTAGCCCTGTGGCCAGCAAGGGTGGGAGTGCTGGGTCTGGGCAGAGAGAATCAGAATGTGGGTGGCACCCCAACTCCCAGCACTACTTGTCCCTCCTCCCCAGAAGGCCAGACTGACGAATTCTCTAGTCCAATTTGGACAGTACCATTTTTGTGCTCATGAGTGATCTATGGCTCTCCATTGCCTACTGGACAAAAATCCAGTCCCTTGGCCAAGCATCTGAGGCCCTCTGAGATTGTCTGTGGCCCTCCTCTCTCCAGGGCCCTGGCCACCAGATTCTCTGAATGCTGGTCTCTACCCTCCTACCCTTCCAGCAGAAGCCAAGCTCTGCTCTGGGGCCCTCAGCCTGTCCCTCTTCACTCCCTCCTTGCCCTAGGGCACAGTGCAGTGGGGGTGCCCTGGGGTGGAGAGGCACCTGAAGGGCACTAGCCAGCAGCCTCTGAAGGACCTGGTCTCGGCCGTAGCAGAGGAAGCTGTGGGTGTAGACACGGTAGTGCTGGCCATAGAGCCGAAGGTGGACCTCGTTGGCTGGATCCTCAGCGGGCTTAGTCATCTCGAAGGTGATCTGGGTGGATGCCCCTCCCAGGTCCATGGCCCCCAGGGTCCCCTTCCTTGGCCGGAACCACCGGCCCACCCAGCCATACTGTGAAAAGTGGAGATGGGTCAGCCAGGACCGGGGGCCTGTGCCCTGGCTCCCTGGCACCCTGGGGCAGCTGCCAAGCCCACCTTGATGAAGTTCTCCAGCAGATAGTTGGCAGTCACCCAGCCAAACACGCCCTCATCCTGGCCCGACAGGATGCGTGCCCCCCGAAAGTCGAAGGGGTACTGGGTCAACGTCTGTGTCACTGCAGCCAGGACACTGGCTGCAGCCTCTGGATGGGTTAGGCTGTGGGACAGGACAACTCTGAGGGGCCTTCTCCACAGGAAGCTGTGATCTGATTTGGGGGTCTCAGGATCTACCGAATGAGGAGTTCCCGCCCAAAGCTGGTACCAAGGGCATTCAGAGCCCAGGACAAGGCCGTGGAAACTTACTTCAACAGGCGCATGCCTGCCGTGGCACCCAGGTACAGGGGCGTGCCAGCATGTCTCTCTGTGGGCACATCCTGCATTGCCTGTTCCAGGCACTCCACCAGGCTCTGTCCCGCCTTGGAAGGGTCATCTGCATAGCTGGAGATACCCCCACCTAGAGAGTGGAGAGAGACGACCCAGGCCCAGTGACAGGCCCCAGGCAGGCTGAAGGCTCTCAACCAGCTTGGACACACCTCCCAGCTTCAGCCCCAGAGACACCCTGTTCACAGACAAAAGGACCCAGGTACCACCCAGGCTTTGAGGCTGCCGCCTGCTGGGCGGGTGTGGGCACAGGTGCCAGCACAAAGCACTGGGCATTTGTCAATGCAGCCTAGCCTCCCAGGGGACCTGTCTGGATGTGCCCGCCAAACCCCTCCTGTTCCACTGGGGCACAGAGGTGAGGCTTGGGCCGGCAAGGCTCAGCCCTTCCTCTCTGCCCGCAGTTTCCTTTCTAGAACATAAACTGCCCCCGTCCCCCAGGCCCAGGGCCCAGCATCTCCGTCTGCAACTCCTGCTTGGAGTGGGCACCACCCAGCCTCAAGCAGAGCTGCAGGACAGAGACCCTACAGGGAGCAGGTGTCCAGGACTTGGAAGCGGCCTTACCCTGAACGTCGCAGGAGCTGTGCTGGCCCACAATGCCTGTGTCATTCTCCTTGTCCGTTGGCCACTTGTAGATAAACATGGATGTGTGTGAAGAGCCAGCGTCCAGCACGATGCCATACTAGGGGTGGGGTAGGGCGTCAGCCAGAGGGGCCTGGGGCCCTTTAGCTCCCCCAGCTCTGTACCCTCTCACATGCCAAAGCTCAGAGAATGCCAAGAGCAGCCTGGTAATGGCTTGGTGATGTGGGTGCAGGTAACCAGGACCCCCTGGCGATCGTCTCCCCTCTACTCAAGCCAGCATGCCAGGCTGTGGGAGGGCTACTTGCCAGGGCACCTGAGGGGCTGTGCCAAGGTCAGAGGTGCCCAGGAGGACTAGGTCTGGAACTTTGCCCTGGCACTCCCAGGAGGAACCCACTCTTCCTCCTCTGCCCACACCTGCCCTGACCTTAGCCCGACCTGGGGAGGCTTTGGAGGCTGTGTGTGGGCCTCCAACCCACCACCCTCTCTGGGCGTCAAAGCCAGGGCAGGGAGAGTTTGGTGCTGTGTGAACCTCTTCACAAGCTGGGTGAGCTCAGCTTGGGTGTCCGGTGGCTCTTTCCAGGACCTCCTCAAGGGCCTAGAATGAAGACCACCCGGCTGGGTGCTCGTTCTGGCCAGGAAAGGCTGCTCTGTCCTCCACCAGGGAACTCTGCCGGAGCCCATGAAGGCCCAGATCCTGCCCCCAGGGTCCCCATCCTGGAGTTCACAGGGCTCGGATCTCCACATCCCCTACATCCAGCCCAGCACACTAAGGGTTAAGGGGCCCCGTGCAAATCGACCTGCGTGGGGGGAGGGACGAGGCAGGGTCACCGCCAAGCTCGCTACGGACAGCGCCCACACGGTCAGGGGCACCGGGGCCTGGGGTCCCAGTTCTTCCGCGCTGCCGCCTCACAACTGGCGAACCCAGGCCCCTGCGCCTCTAACGGTCCGGGCGGCGCAGAGTGCTGCCGCGGCCCCGGCTGGGCGGGGTGGCCTGGCCGCGCCCCGGGGTGAGGATGAGCCTCGATGGTGGCCTCCGTGGGCCGGGAGACCCCACGACCTCGACCTCCGGTTCCACGTCGCCCCGAACGCGCCGCTGCCGGCCCAGGGCCTGCGGGACCCGAGATCCGCAACCGGCCGGACGCAGCGGTGGCCCCGGGCTCGGTCCCGGGTCAAGCCGGGCCGGGCGTGCACCTTGAGGGCGGGCGGCTCCCGGACGTCGCGGGTGGGGACGCAGAGGAGCAGGAGGCCGGTGAGGCCCGCCGTGGCCAACAGCAGCGGCGGTAGGAACGACAGCGTCTTCCCGGCCATCGGCGGGCGCGGAGGAAGCGGCAGGGACCCGGAGCCGGGCGGCGGTGGTGGGACAGGAGCCCGGGAGG